AGCAGCGCCACCCAGGTTGGACCCGGTTGATGTGCTAAAGAAGAGGCCCTTTTCTCTGCTCCCACGAGAATCTAAGGACTGTTTGCTTTGGAATTGCTGAGATATCTAATGAGAGATTTATGTATTATCTTCCAGCGATTGAGCATTTTGAAAGTCTCATGAAAATTTCGTGGGTTTTACAGGATATGCTCTGTGTCAATGGCCAGTTGTGTCCTATGGGTTCTATCCGTTGGAGGTGACGGCCATGAGCTTGGTGATTCTAGACATTTAATAGCCAAGCTAGGTCCTGGCCGTCGGAGTGGTTTGCTATTGTGCATCGTGATGAGGTAGGGGTGATGGTCAACGGAGGGGTTGTATGTAAATCTGAGTTTTACGGGGATGGGCTCTTGACTCCCATCCAACTACTTCGCCAATGAATGCCATCCTGATCCACTTCGGACATGTCAACCATCGAATACTCACTCGGGCCGTCCTTCGACTGCCCCTTCGGATGGCCAGCCGAGCCGAGCTATCCCATCGACCCCATCAATCAAACCACCGCCACAGCCATCCCACACCATCTCGCCTCTTCTCCCGAGCGACCCTCACGGAAAACGCCCTCGGATCTCCTTCAGACTTGGGACTCGATCTTCTCGTGTCGATCGAGCGATCATGACGAGCCAATCGACCAACTGGCGACACTCCTCAGTAGGCTCTATCTCGAGGCCGTCTACCTTCCCGAAACATCTGCCGTCGAGCGTTTTGCAGCCCGGGTACGGAACTCGGAAGAGGGTTTCGAGGAGGAGGCTCTGCTAGGACTGTACGAGTCATTCATGATCCCCGAGGAAGCTTTGGTCCGGAAGTGGGGCACTGAGATGGGGAAGATCGCACGGGTGTACGAGGCACGGAGTAAGCGCGCGGTCGACGGAGACGAGGATCAGGAAGAAGAAGAAGATGAGGAGGGAGAGGCGATCGTGGTGGAGAATGACGAGGAGCTCTTCCATCTCAACGAACCCGAAGCCTTCGCTCTCGTCCTCCAACAATTCTTCAGCCCTGCTCAACCCGACCTCTGTCGTCCTCTCGCCGGCTCTCATCCCGTCCCAGACTCCACCAAGGTCGCCTTCATCAAACCCGACTCGATCGCTCAGCAGCTCGAGGTTTGGGGTACCAGGGAGTCAGTCCCTTCGTCTTATCATCTTTCCTATCCTTTTCATTTTTTTTTTTTTTCAGCTCAAGTTGAAACATCTAGAAAGACGAAAATCGTACTGAGATAATAATCTGTGTTGGATTGTAGGACTCAACTGCAGATCGTCCTCTTACTAGAACTCATCATCCTGACCAACCTATCATTAGACGCCGGCTCACAGCTACTACACAAGAAGCAACTATCGGCCTCTCACCGGAAGAGAGGAAAAGAGAAGCCGAATCTGGGTGGGTTGGGAGAAGAGGAGGAGAAGAAGCTGGAAGACAAGGAGGTCGTCGCGGACCTTGAGTGACTCCTCGAGGGCCTCGTCGACAAACTCGCCATGTGGCAGATCATTTCCGGCCTCGAAAACCATCTCGGCCCTTCCCGGAAATCTAACCCTCGACACGACTCCATAATCCCTTCTTCCGACACTCTCGATCCGGACTATGTACAAAGGTTTTGGACTGACGTGATTGAAGAACAGTTGAGTTGATTCTCTTCTCCACTCAAGGTTCTCGTTGTGTTGATGAATTTTTTCAAGACGGCTCTTTAATCTTGTTGACTAAGCAGTCCACTGAATTTGAAATGATTTATGGGTGGCAAAAACAGTTATACTCGACACTGGCCACTCCTCAATTCATCCTTCCGACCCAAGCTCTTCCCGACTTTGATCTACAATCCATCAGCATCCTCGTCGTTAGTGCCGACGCAGTTCGATGCAACGGCGTGACCCGGGCCGGGCACGATCCACCGGACGCCGAACCTGAAGAAACTAGAGCGACGGGCAGCGGCGCGAGCGGGGCGACAGGAAACCGCGCAGATGCGTCAGAATCAGAACGTGAGTCCGACGATGCTCGAGCTGACCGGCCGCTTGCTCGGCCCGGCTTTAGGGTTGACGGCGCCATAGGGTGGGGCGCGCCAAAGTGCGCCCGCCCCCCGTGCGCGCACCCGGGTCCCCGAAGATCCTGAAAATGGGGGTCGGCGCGCACCTGACTTTTAACCCTACTTTTGAAGGACCCCTGAGATATCTTGGACCGGATCCAGCCGGATCACACCGGATTCAATTTTTTATGGATTTGAAATTTCTGATCTCAGTCTCTCACCACTTGGAATTATGCAGTTATGGCCTCTGACACATGCACTATGCATTGTAGCAGCGATCTTGCCTCTACAAATAAAAAAAAAGAAAAAAAAAAAACTTTGAACCTTGTTTTTTGAGCTTTTTTAACGGCGCCCAGCTCGCCGGGGCGCCGCCAGCCAAAGGCGCCATGCTCTGGCGGTTTGACAGGCGCCCCTAGGCGCGCACCTCTTGAAAAGGTGGCGCCGTCAACCCTACCCGGCTTGCTTAGCGAGTCCCAGCTGGCCCTCCAAGCTCGCTCCTCCCGTGCTCTCTTCAATCGCAGACAAGTCACCATGTCCAAGACTTCCGCCCACCTCCCCAAACCTCGTCCTATCCTCAACTCTTCTTCCGTCGGCCCCCTCCATCGTCCCGCCCAACCGCGCTCACTCTCTCACTCCCATCTCGCGGGCTCTAAACGCAAGCAATCTTCCCCAAAACGTCCGTCTACTCCTTATCTCCTTTAGCCGTTCTCTTTCTCTCAAACTGATTGCTTTCTCTCTCCCTCCATCCACTCAACATCAAATTCAGACAAATCCACCGCCCTGTCCATCAATCAGTTATCCACCCCTCGCAAATCCGCTAAATCCTCTTCCACTGGTACGTTTCCCTCTGTCTCTCGGTTCTTCTCGCCTTCCACATACATCTCCCTGCTGCGCCTCAATTGACTCATCCCTAATATGTTATAATTTTATATGTGTTTTTCCCTGTAGGCCTCGCATCAAGATCCGTAACCGTCTTGGTCCCTGATACCCCTCAAAATAACCATCGTCTTCGTCGGTGAAAACCCCCTCGATTATTAGAGGTACGTTTGTACTCAAAGTTGTCTTTGTTTTCCATCTGATTTTGTATCATAAATGAAATGATGATAAAGGAAAAAGTTCGAAATAAAAGAGAATCAATCTCGTTCAAAGGATGGGCCATACAACAATTGAGCTGAGAAGGTTTCGTCAAAGATGTGATCAGTCACTGAACGTTTGATTTTCTTCTTGGTCTGATAATCGAGAAAACGATCGATTAGATAATTGGAACAAGAGGATGTGATCTCAATTCTTGGGAGCTGGAGGCGTAGTGGCCACCATCAAGTTCCCAAGATGTCTCTTGTCCAGTAATTGGGAAGCTCTATGGGGGGTTTTCTTTTTTTTTATTTTTCCCACATGAATTGAATCTATCCTCCATTGGGAAAGCTCAGGATGATGGATATACTAGACTCTATTCACAAAGATCAAAGCCCAAAACAACATATTGTATGTATATGGGGTCTGCTCTGTTGGATTCCTGGAAAATCAGAGTGGATGATTAGCTCTATAGATTTGGAGTATGGGATTCCAACAGGGAATTGAAAAGATGTTCGACCACGAAGTCCTAGATGTGGTCGAAGTCAAAATCAAAGGCGTAGTCTCCTTGGCTGATATCAAAGGATCTTAAGACATCTCCCGGCCTCATCCCACTGTTTTACCTTGTGGGATTCAAACGATACAAACAATTCAAATCAATATCACTAGACTTCTTCAGGGGACAAGAGATCCATTCTATCGGCCTTGTCCACGGTCTACAGTATGTCATTTCCGTCAGCGTCGGCGAGATAGACCAACCGGGAACTACTGCCTCACTTCTCAACTTGGACCCATCCGCACTTCCAACTCCCTCTGAAAATTCCAATCAAACGGACAAGCCCAAAGCCCCGAAGCCAGTTTCACTCGTAGACTCATCATCACAAACCAATCTACTTGAAAATGTTGAAGGGCTCCCTCTAGTTCATTTCAGAACGTACCTCGTCTAGCTTCTCAAATCCGGACAGCGTGAGCCTCGAGTCGAGCTCCTACCTCATGGCCCTTCGTTCGACTTCAGACTTCGAAGAGCCCAAGCACCATCGGAAGACCTACTCAAACTAGCTTCAGTTGCCCACTGCCATTTTTTATTCTTCTTCTTATGTCACCCTCTCATTAGCACTCCCCCCCCCTCGGAGGAATTCCTTCAATCCTCCTTGGGACCACAATTCAAAAAATGATTCAAGATATCTAGGGAAGTAAGAACTACAGTGGTCACCAATCAAAAAAAAAAAAAGATTCAGGAACTGAAACACTAGAATTGTAGCTCACATGATCACAACACGAGTTTTTACTCCTCTGCTGAATGAGATTGTATTTCCGCAAGCTGCATTCCTCCTTGTTGCTTGCGATTGCAGATTTTCTCATTGAGGGTTTTAACAATTAAAGAGCATTCAAAACCCACAAAGAGGGAACAGATTTTGCGAAGTTGGCCCATGCACCTATGACTTAACACATTTGAGTATTCTTTGACTTTGGCATTGCTCCTGGTGTCAAGCATCCGTTCCAAGACAAACTATTTGAAAGAGAGGATTGAAAGTAATGCTGATTTTTGGCTTTTAAGGTGCTTAAGAGAAAATGATACTCTTGATTGCCAATGGATCTAATGAGGTGCACATAATCTGAGATAATTCCGACAAAGAAAAGAAAAAGGAAACCTCATCGGTCGTTGAAGAAGCAAAACAGATGATTCTCATCGATCTGGGGAACTTATAAGGTTGGTGATCACGTTTCCGACTCCTAATTTGATATCAACAAAATTCTTTAATTTGTCTCTCAATGTAAGCTTCTTGGTCAGCTGAGTTCATGTTTTGAAGCGTAGTGAGGAGCTTTTGTTTTTGTTGTCGGCCCTCTTCTCGACCTTCTTCTCGACCCTCTTCTCGACCCTCTTCTCGACCCTCTTCTCGACCCTCTTCTCGACCCTCTTCTCGACCCTCGTCCTTGGCTTTCTCGATGGCTAACAACCTAGTGTTTTCGTAAACCTGCAATTGTGTCAACTCGTCCTGGTAGGCATCGCGGTCCGTGTCCGAAAGCGCCGCCAGACGGATCGTTTCAATGAAATGTTTAAGATCTTCACTCTCTGCCACCCAGTCTGGAATTGTATGACCTTCTAAGCCGAGATGACGGAGGAGCCAGACCATCTGTTCCAACGGTGTTTTGCAAGCATCCGCAGGGATCCCAAAGTTTGGAAGGGAGACAATGCAGTAATGTTGGATGTGGTCAAATGGTAAAAAAGCCGGTAGAGTTGCGTCCGGATATACGCGACATTTGCTTCCCTGAAAGAAAGTGGCCGCCCAGCACAACCACGCTGGCCGTAGTTCGGGCGGGACTCCTGGAAGGCACTTCAAGGAGAAGTCACAAATGGCAACCACATAGACTGGTTGCAGTTGATTGTTCCTCTTTTTTGAAGTACACTCCTGTCGACTCTTCTTTAATTTGAGGCTGAGATCTTTTTCAACATTTTGTTCAAACAAGTTGGGCGGAATTTGACTGCCTGACCAACCTCGCTTCTCCGTAATAAGCCTTGCGGAGTAGTAGACCATTTGATTGAGAGAGTATCTCTCTGTAACCATTTGCATCTCCACATTCACGATCGTATCTTTGTCTGTGACACAGACAATGTCATACCGTATCAATCGCATTCCTGAATAAAGACCCACAGATTCTGTCGGGTCATAAACCACGTGCTGAGAGGCAGAGACAGTGGACCGCCGAGTAGTACTTTTGCTGGATGTGGAACGCGACAAGCTAGCCGGTGTGACAGGCTCGGGCTGAACACGCTTGATGGTCGTTACTTGGCGCAGCTCGACCTCCGGTAAAATTGACTTGAGGAAGAAGATAAGAGTTTTTCTGATAGTTTTTTAAATGGATTCAAAAGAACTTATATGAGTATCTTCAAACTCTTTTTTTATTCAAACTAAAAATTCTTTTCAGCTTACACATCACCAAACAGTCGTTTAAATGCTGAGTCTGTAATAACAGACATATACTTGCCTGTGTCCATTTCTCGGGGTTCTGACATTGGTGTAGGGTTTCTGGTATTGGTTCAAGGTCGTAAGGGTCACTGGTGGGAGGTGCCTGGGCCCGTCCCGAGCGTTCCGAGGGGTCCTGGGGCCTTCTGCGGCGCTCCGGGGCTGCTGGTGGTCAGGCTGGGTCGTCCGACGATGATCCGGTCGATTTGGGTCGTCTGACGGCAATCTGAGGCGGTTGGAGGGGTGTGGGAGGGGTTGGGGTTGTATCCGATTGTTCCGAGTGAGATCCAATGGTTCTAGGCTAGTTCCGAGGGGCCGGCGACGATCCAAGCGTAAAAACCGGCGATCAGCCAAAAATCCAACGTCCTGGGGTCCAAGAGGGGCTCTTGGGGGTCCTGAAATCGCTGCAAGGGGTAGAGAGAGGTGGAGGGGTGAGTTGTAAGGTTTGAGAGGAGTGATGAACAGGGTTCAAGTTGTGGATTTTCAAGGTGGTAGAGTAGGGTTGGCGGCGCCACCTTTGAGCTGAGGGCGCCAAGGCGCGCCTTTTCCAAGTCCTCCTGGGCGCGCCTACTAGTGGGGGCGCGGGGGCTTTTCGGGCAGTACTGGGACTTATTGGTGGTTTTGATTTTTTTTCTATGCGTTGGAATACAGCAGGACCCAGGAAACCCCCGAAGTATGTCAGTAACGTAAATGTATGAATTTTTTCAAAAAAAAGCCAAATCATACGCACGAAAGTGGTATGAATCGGTTTGGCCGGCAAAAATGTTACGCACGAAACACAGTTGAAATGTATGAAAATTGCCTCAATGTTGAGCAAAACCCGCCAAAATGTCTAGTCCCCGCTTTTTCGGGGGGATTTTTTCACTTTCCGGGGGATTTTTCCTCAAGCATACGCACGAAATGTGTATGAATGGCCCTGAAAATGCCAGTCCCCGGTGCCCCCCGATGTATGAATTACCGAAAATCCAGGGATTTACGTTACTGACATTTTTAGGCGGTTTCCTGGGTCCTAATACAGCTATTTCGGAAAGGGTTGTCCAGTTGTCTTGTATTTTTTTTTTTTGCTTTTGTCTTGCAATTTTTTTTTTCTTTTGAAATTTTTTAAATTTTTCTTTGTACTGAACTACAGCCGAGGAGGTACAGCTGTCATCAGTAGTTCAGTTCTGACAGGTCCAGTTCAGTAAAAAAATAAAAAATAAAAAAAATAAAAAAATAAAAAAGAATTCGCGAGTACAAGTGGACAACCCTTTCCGAAATAGCTCATGTATGTATTACTTAGCTTTTATTTCTTGTCCATTTCACTTCCGTCTGTTATGAAGGTCCGCGCCGGCCTGATCCTGTTTGGAATCTTGGGCCGGGCGGTTTTGCCTGGGTGGGCCGAAAAAAGGCCTTTGGGTTGCTTTGGAGGGCCGCCAGTAGGCAGCCCTCGGAGCAACCCACAGGCATAGAAAGGCATCACACGGACCCGCCCCAATACAGGGGCGATCCGAGCCAACTACACCCTACTACACCTGGTGTCAGATGACGACATAAGAGCATATGCCCCCACCCCAGTGGTACATGGCACGAGCATAGTGGAACCAGTCAGGGCCACCGAGAGCACCTTCCCCATCATCTCCCCGAGCGGTCTGGGGGCCTGGGCTCCTGGGAGGGCGCGCCTAGGGGAGTTTTTGGGCATTTGCCCCCCCCCCCCCATCGCACCCCGTTGCCCCGGGGGGCGACAGCGCGCAGGGGGCGACAGCGCGCAGGGCGCGCCTTGTGACCGGCGCCGCCAACCCTATTGTAGAGGTAGGTTTTCAAGGTCTGAGTGGTGATTGGAGGACTTCCCGTCAACATCTGCAGGTCTCCCAGAGCCGGTTTAGAGGCTCGAAATTCAAATTTCTCTGCGAGAACCAAGAATTTTTGGGTCTAGACCAACTTCTGCAAGGGCCCCAGATCCGACGGGAAGTCCTCCATTATTGGAGGACTTCCCGTCAACTTCTGCGGGTCTCCCAGAGTCGGTTTAGAGCCGCGAAATTCAAATTTCTCTGCGAGAATTCAGAGTTTTTGGGTCTAGATCGACTTCTGCAAGGGTCCCAGATCCGACAGGAAGTCCTCCATTAATAATCACCACTCAGACCTTGAAAACCTTATATTTGGGTGTTTGCAATATGTTAGGCTCCGTTTGGCCACCCAAAATGTTGTACAGCAGTTCCCAGAAAGCTTGCTGTTGCAAGCCCCTGGGATCCATTTTTTTTTTGTGCCACACTTTTTCTTTTATTTTTTGTCCTGTATGTGGGCTCATACAACCACAGTATACTAGGCATTATGGCCCAACTCCCACATTATTCAAGTTGAAGATTTGGGAGTTGGACCATTGGAATCCTGGCAGTTTTTTGAGCAGGGAATGGTCATCACATTGGTGCCTCACCACCCCTTGCCAGGCAACAGCTGAGTGCCCAGAGCCCAATCAAGGCCTTGGCAGCAGATTCGCAACCTGTACAGTCATTTGTACAGGTTCTGAGGCACAAAAAAATGTGGCGGAAAAAAAAATCGGGACCCCAGGAGCTTGTGAACGCAAGCTTTCTGGGAACTGCTGTACAAAAATCCTAATAATCGGATTTAAGATTTATCAACCTTAATCTGATTATTACACAACCATGCAAATCCATTATCATGGTAAATATTGGTCCAGTCCAAAATTTCCTCTTGGCTGGAGAATACAAGCAAAAAGTATATTCCGTGATGAACGATGTGGAACTTTTCAAGCTAAAGAAAAGAGCTTAGAGGGGAAAAGAACAACTACACAGGGGAAAATGTGAGTTGAAGACTTGGATGCTGATGAAGCTGCCCTCTTGTCAAGGCTTGGGAGAGAGTTACACTAAGAATTAAAGAAAAGGTGTGGCTATTTCTGTGGGTAATCTTAGTATGAGATTTATTACTGATGTCTTGTACAAGTCACCTGCTGAGAGATTGAGGATGTGGGGGATTCTGGTAAGGATAAGGCTCTGGGGGATAATGGTTTCTGGGTTCAATTTCTTATCTTCTGGGGGAAAATCAATAATAATTACTTCTGGTAACTACTAGTAAGTGATGTCTGCTAAGTAATTATCTGTTTACTTCTCTAATGCAAGCATGGGGAACAAAGTAAGTGGAAAGAGTCTTCTCTATATACATGTGGGTGGTTCTGATCAGGTACTAGTGGCAAGATATCAGCTGAAGTAAGAAGATGGTATGAAATAAGTTGTATCTGAAAGACAATTGGTTATGAAATAAATGTGGCTGAAAAATGCATAGTGTGAAATAAACATGTTGAAAAGGAGAAAATATGAAGTAACTTCTGTTTGTGATAAAAATAATATGTAGTGCAAAAAGAAATGAGATAATCAAAGACTGAAATAAATATTCTGAGGTGAGATGAGAAATCTGTGTGGTGAAATATATATGTAGGTGATATAAGCAATGAGTAATGAGTTGAAATGAGATGTATGATGAGAATGTAGGTGATATAAGCCATGTGTATTGAGTTTGAAATGGAATGTAAGAATGAAATACTTGTAGTATGAAATAAAAGTAGAATAAAATAAATGTGGAATGAAGTAATTGATGTATGAAAAGAAGTGGATGATGAGTGAGATGAGATGACAATATCTGGATGAGAAATCAAATGTATGGTATGAAACAGTATATGTAGTCTGAATAAGTGATATCTGAGATGAAATAAATAACATTTACTGAAAGATTATTATCATAGAAAGAAGGTACTGAGGGAAGACTAATTTGTATCTTGAGATGTGTGATATGTAGTATGTTGTAGCTATGTAGTACTATATATTATGTAACCAAACTATGTAAAAAATACTGTTTTGTAACCTTCTGAACTGGGTACAAGATAATGGGTTATGTAGCATGTGCATATCTGGTTGTAATAACATGAAAACTACTATAACTAGCTATTTTGTCCTATATATGACCTTGATTGGTCTCACCACAACAAGCTGTTATGATGTGACCTGCCAAACAGCCTTCTCACCATTGTTATAATCCCCGTCCCCCCAGCAACAGAGGAATAGGTGTACTCCTCCTCCGAATCTGAGTTCATCTAACTCGCCTTTTCACATGAATTCCTCGGTAAGTCAACCCTCTGTGGACCCAATCTATGAAAGTCTTCACTGAAAAAAATTTTCACGTCTCAACAGTCAAACATAGAACACACATCAATCAACTGTTGCTCTTACTTCACGTCTACGTCCTCACCCTCCATGAAACATACAGAGCATCCATCCCACTCAAAAGTGGAGAAGGGTATCAAGAAAAAAGTTGCCAATCCTTTCACTCATAAAGGTGTGTACAGATTCATCTGGGCGCTTTCCCTCCTTGCGTTGTGACAGGCGTATTCACTTGATTGCTTATTGATTCTGTCTAGATTGGTACAATGTCAAGGCTTCTTCAATGTTTGAGAACTGAAATGCTGGCAAGAACTTCACCAACCAATCTGCCGGAATGAGTCAGTCTACCCACCCAATCACCCCACACCTTACCAGTCAGATTACTGATCTTTTGATCATTTGTCACATCAGAGAACGCCAACAACTCTTTGAAGGGCCGTATCATCAATCTTTCCCTTCCCGATCTGAATAAGGATGAGGAACAAGGTGAGTTCGACATAATACCACCCTTATGTTTTCAAATAACTCTAGAACTGTTTGTTTACCTGATCCATCCCCCTTTGTTTCTGCCTGTATGATTCTTAAGAACTAACACAAACAATAAATTGGCGGCTGCCTTCAAGTTCAAACATAGCACCACCACTCTCTCCTTCAGATTCCAACACAGGATCATTGTCACCATTGGTTTGTGAGCAGCTGCCAAAGGTCAGTCTTCCCATCTTGTTATGATTTCTTATCTGAAGATCCACTCTAACAACGCTGGGCTGCTACGCTAAAGGGCCACTTAGCGTTAGCGTAGCGGCGCAAAAACAGGCCCTTTTTTCTGTAGTGTTAGCGTGCCTCTACCGCCGCTACGCTGTAGCCCCGCTAACAGGCGGCATGTTTTTGGGTAGTGTTAGCGCATTGCTACAGCCGCTACACTGCATTACGCTGCGCTACAGCGCTTTTAGCGGCAAAAAAGGCAAAAAAACCCGCTAAAAAGCCCTGTAGCGCGGCGTAGCGGGCACTTTTTTGTGCCCTGAGCGCGTAGCGTTAGCGCAATTCCGACTTTCTGCACTAACGCTACGCTAACAGCTAACGCACTTTTGTGCCCTTTGCGCGTAGCGTTAGCGAAGAAAGGTGGATTTTTTGCTAACGCTACGCTACAAAGTAGCGCATTTCTGCTGCGCTACGCCACACTAACGCTACGGTTAGCGTAGCTGGCCCAGCGTTGACTCTAACCCTTTTGTTTCTGGGTTGGTTATATACATAGTCATCAAGATCAATCCTTTTATCTTGGATTGATCTTGTGTCACTGCTACATCTTCCCCTTTTGGCAAAAGGAATAAGTCAATCAGTACAAATTGATCCAGTTTATGATCAATTGCATACCCTTTTCCTGATCAGCGGGGTAAGTTCAGCTCATCACCTATCTCTTCCTACTTCCTTTATCTCATTAGGTTCCTTGTCCTACAAGCTCAACTGCCATTGGTTCAATGGAATCAGAAACTGAGAAACACAAAGTCAGTCACTTTAAGGTTTGTGGTAAGTATCCCACAGATCTTGGTAGCTGTACCAAGTCAGTATCAGTTGAAAATTGGCTTCAATACCAATGTGCAGTTGGGCATACAGCATGACCGTGGGGCTGATTGTAGCCTTTTTGTTTTGGAATCCTGTTTGTTTGAATCCAACCATCTGCCCCCCCCCCTCTTTTCTGGACCTATCATGTTCCTGAAAATTTCCATAACCCCAAATGCAACATTTGACTGTTTATCAGAAGAATTCCAGGGATCTTGGTGGCTACACAACGTGGTGACTTGATTCTTATCTTGAAAGCAGAGGGGTTATTTCTGGTAAGGAGAGAATTTACAGATGATTTAGTTTTGAAAGAAAAGGACAGGATCACAAGATGTCTGGAAACAAGTCAAAAATGATTTGTACAATGCAGTAGAAAGACTATTTACAATGAGTTGAAATAAGAAATATGAATGGGCCTGGTAATTCATTTTCAGGTACCATGAATGAACTGGTGAAGAAGTGAATCACAAAAGGATTTTGGGTAAGTCACTATCATCAGAGGCTTCCGAGACACTGAAGACACCTCGATTCTTTGAGGCAAGGATCCTTTCAAATGCAAGTGGTTGCCGAGGAGTGGGACATTTCCACTTCAAATCTACTGCCTTACCTCCCTGACCCAATTTGAGAATATTAAAAACGGTTGAACAGACATGTTCATTCAAAAACGCATTGATTCCTGTACCAGCACTGTTGCCCTCAGCCCAAGCACTTTGAAAGAGTCAGTTTACATGACAATAAGAAGGGCAAGCATCAAGTAACTTACTCAGCATTCAGATCAACCATTTTTGGATCAGTGAGGATGGGACCAAAGCCCTGAAGATCACAAACCAATTGCTGCACTCTTGACTGATTGTATGACCAATGTGTCAATGCAATATTCATGAGTGAAAGGTAATTGGGATCCATTCCCTTCTGGTTTGGTGATAAATGGAAGTTAAGATTGCTTGAATATTTGACAAAATTTCCATCGAGGTGACTTTCAAAAAAGTAGACTTCATTGGGTTTATCTATTGCCCCTACAACAACAACACAGTGTCTCACAAGCTGGACAATAAAAGGTCAGCTTTTGATTGGAAAAAAGGAGATTCACTCCAGGTGATAGGCTTAATTCAATTTGAATTCCTTTAATCTTCAGCAGACCATCAAGTATTTCACTGATGAGGTCCTTAAATTCTGTCAGGATCAGGCCAAAACCCCAATAGGTGATGGAATCACTGGCATGATTAGAGACATTCGGTTGGGGGTCAGAATATCGAATCTTGGCAACCCATTTGTTGATGACCTCTTGCCCATTTTCTGATGAGGGTACTGGAGCTGGATAAGATTGACGACTACTACCCTCGCCAAGATGCTTTTGCCTATCTACTTTGATATTGAAAGGGAAGGTGACAGCGTGGATGTAATCATTGACAACATAAGACTTCTGGTTTGCTTCTGGTGGGGGCTGTTCTTCAATTGTATAGAAATGTAACCTTTGCGCTACAACCCATCCATCAGTCTTCATGGTGATCGACCAACTCACTGGGTGGCTGAGGGTGTCGACTTGTGCTGATAAGCCAGCTGGTCCCCGAACTGGTTTGGTTGCAATTTTCCCACCAAGGGCCCATGTGGCAGATTTGGATGTCTTGGGTGGATCTGCATTACATTTTCTCTTGCGGTTGGTAGCACAGTATCCGGAAAGGCTTTGATGGGATGCTGATAGAATAAATTGATGACTGCGGCACTTTTGATTGTCTTTCCGGTTTGGGCAAGATCTAAGAGGGTGCCATGGTTTTCAATCTTGGAATTGAGTGTTCCCAAGCAAGTGTATTTTTCTGGATCAGGGGGAAAAGTGATTTCGGTTTTGGCTAGGATTTCTTCAGAAAATAGTGTCATTGATGATGTCGGAGGTCTTCATAGAAGTTGGGCTTCTTGGTATCCACCTCCAAGACCTTTGGAATGATCCCTGTCTTCTTTTGTGGTTGATCATCAATGTAAACTGTGACACCGGCTTTCACAAACTGCTTTTCAGGTGATTGCTTGGGATCGGGGGTGCGAGAAGTACTGGCACGGCTAGATTGGGTAGCTGAAGCCTCAGGTTTTTTTACCCCATGGAGCTCTTTGGCAATTCCTTGGTAGAAAACATGAGTCCCAGTATCTTGAGAAGTCAAAACATGTTGTGGAGCCGCAGAGTAAGCTGGGCCAGCGGTGTGGATCCGGCTGGGGAGGATTTGGGTATGAGGAGTTGAGGGACCAGAAGGGGATGATTGGTTTGCTTGGGAGGGACTGGTTTTAATGTGGGGAACAATACATTCAAGGCAATGATTGTCAAAATGCTTCTCAGTCGACCATTGGTTGCACTTGAGGCATTTGAGCATGTCACCCATGGGAGAGATGAATTTCAAAGAAGTCCAAGAGATTGGGATGAAGGCTTATTGTAATTGATGTGGATTTGGTAGTAAATATGAAAAAACCGTTGTTGGTGAGCTCAAGGAGGGTGATTTGTGGGCTAAATATCTATTGAAAGGGCAGAGGTATTCCCTATTTATATTCCTTCAGAAGCTAGCTTGCTGAATGAAATACTAGTGCTCCAATCCGTGAAAAATTATTTCATGCATGTGAGAACAGGCAGGATAATTGGCCGGTCCTATTCACCATGGTGCATGGCAAGAATCAAACAATGCGGATGAGAATGCCTTGGTTGCAGGAAGATTGCTTCCCATTCTTTTAGTGATGACAGACTAAAACATACAGTTTGTATCTAGGCACCAGTGATGCCTGGTAATGCCTGGTCTCTTCCCAGTGGAGAATCAATTGATTTTCAATTGTGCAATTGAAATCATGACCGCATGGGTGGTCACCAGACTAGATGGGTCCAAGTCCATATGGGTATGGTTGCCCAACCATGGGGCATTTGATCTCAGACCTTCAAGGCCGCACAATATTAATCATCTCTTGTGATGCTGGTGTCAAGAACAAAAAGGAAAGGAGACACATGGTCATCATTGACTTTGCTCTGTTCGATTCAATCTTGTTTGACTGTTTGTATTTTGGGCTACAGAAGGGTTGCATGTGATTGATACTAATCAAAATACTTTTGCAATGCAATTATCTAGGTGCAACGTCAACAACTACAACTGGCCCTGAACAAGGTGGAGGCATTGATATTACAGCTGATGGCTGCCCAAAGCCTTGTGTGAAGCAATCCATGAATTGTGCTCCTGAAGTCCAAGCTGAGCCAGGCCACATGTGAATCCAGCTAAGCCAGGCTGGGTGAAACACTCATGGGCACCATTGATGGCCTTGGATTGAGGAGTAAATTGATTGTTTTGATGCTCCATCTTGATTCTTGCAATCACCCTGTGGACTAACCGACTTGACACTCCAATAATTTGACATCCTCAGCCTTGTCACATTTCCATAATTTCCCTCAGCAGCTACCCTTCATATTCCATACACAAAATCATGGATCTGGATGTCACTACCTCTGACCCTACTGAAATTATGGGCTCTGATGATGCGACAACACCACCGAGTTCCCCCCCCCCACCCCCAATCATACTTACCGACAACAATAAGCGTGACTTTCTGGCATCTCTGCTACAAGAGGGTTGGAAAGGACCAGATATCCTGATAATTCTCCGAGAAAAATATGTCTGGACTATTTCCCTACGTTCTCTCAGCTGACTCCACCAAATGTGGGGCCTATGGCTCAAAGACCTTCCACCCCAGGATTCTTTACTCCCCGCAAATTGCGCAAGTCTCATTTCAGCACATCAAAATGGTTTGACAGTTTGTGAAATGCGCTCCCAAATTCTGAGTGAAACAGGAATGGATGTCTCCACCCGCACTGTGGAGAGATATCTGAGGGTGCTTGGCTTGAAACAACAAAAAAATGACTTAGCTGATGGAAAGATCACCAGGTAAGGTGTTGTCAAGCACATCAGGCATGCCCGTGATGCACTTCTGGCCAACTCAGCTGGCTACCAAAGGATGCGGCAGACTCTGGTGACCAACTATGGCCTCCATGTACCTAGGTATGCCTATTCTCTGGAATCAGTGGCTTGATTACACAAAATAATTTTCCTTCATTTATAGACAGGTGTTATATGACATTCTCAAAGAGCTGGATCCTGAAGGAATGGAAATGCGCCTTAAAAAGACATGCGAAAGAAGAGTCTTCCGGACCATTGGTCCCAATCACATCTGGGCCGCGGATGGGCACAACAAATTAAAGCGTTTTGGAATCACGGTTTATGGATTTATCAATGCATGGTCCAGAAAAGTTTTAGGAATCTTTGTTCATGTGACCAATAATGATCCAAGGCATATAGGAGTATACTTTCTCCGATTGGCCAGGGATCATGGGGGAATACCACAAAAGGTGACTACAGACAAGGGAACAGAAACAGTAATCTTGGGTGCCTTCCAGGTCCAACTTTCCTACGAATTCATTCCAAATATATCCCTTGAAGAGGCCAAGAAACACATGCATTATACCAAGTCCACCCACAATCAGGAAATTGAATCATTATGGTCAAGAATGATGACAGAGCACAACAGGCCAGTGATTGATAACATTTTGCAACACATGGAAAATGGATTGGGAGTTATGATGACAGTGATGCATTACAAAAGTAAGAAATTAACCCCATTCCAATTGCATATGAATCTCAAGCACTAATGAATTTTGGGGCCAGACTCCTCTTTCTTTTCCTATGGGTACCAGCATTCCAAGAAAGTGCAGATAGCTGGCTTGTTGCACGCAATTCCTTCCGCAAACGGAAAGACAAGAGGATTTCCCTGCCAACTGGAGTCAAACCCATCTTTTCTTATTCAAATCCAGCGCATTTCAATACTACAGACCAGCTGGTTCCAGTCCCACAGGAGAGAATTGATGAGCTTCTTGAGGAACACTATCCCAATCCAGAACCAATGTTCACCCACACCCCAGCTTTCTTTTACAACATTGCCTTCCCTATGTTCACAGAAATGGGCTACCAATTCCATAGTTTATAAATTGGAAGACTTTGGAGGGTTTTTGATGCTATGCTCCCACGTCTGCAAGTATATTTCCCTCCACACTTTTTTTCTGACTCATCTGATGAATTTTCTGAAGTTGGCCAAGATGATGAGTCGGCAGTATCAGATTCCTAGTGTATGCTTGTTCTTTCACATGTCTTATATCTTGTAATTAGTTGTAATTATGTTTTACTAGAGTTCAGAGGCTGCTGTGCAATCTGGGTCCACCCCAAACATCTGGAACCCTCAAAATTTTGTCACTCCACAATCATTTCTTTATGAGACCCACATCAATTGCAAAATTTCCATTACTTGCAGACTTGTATCTCATTTCCTGCTCAAATTATTCCAATAGAAATTTCAAGCAGTGTGAGTTTTTCACCCTGCTTGAAGTCAAAAATGTGTAAACTATCTTTAAAAATTCAGACAAACAAATCTTGAAATGCAAGCAGTTTTATCATCCAAATTTAGAATCAGATTTTTGGGCCTTGTTCAGAAATTGTACGCCTACATCTGTGGTTTGTGGTAACCCAGGAACTGGGTTAATCCCAAACTCACTAGATACTGGTGTGCAGCTTCTGTGTCCAAGTTTGTGGGAAGAATGATCATGAAAATTCACAAACCATAACATGATGAAAATTCAAAGTGAGAGATAGGGAAGGATTGTGATTCATGTAAAATTAACTATTGTTGATTGGGATCAAAGAACCTCTTGCACATCTCAAATTTGGATGAAACCTAAGTTAGATTGTATGATGACTTGGATTGAACCCAAAAGTGCTTGCTGATTGGACCCTGTCATCAGCTGGCCGATTGCAATGATTTTGACCATGTGAGGGGGTTAACTCATGTAAAGACAAACACACATTGATGTATGGATTCCCACTGGCACAGGGGACATGAATCATGCCAACCCCAAATTGCGATAGATTTGGGAGCATGGACAAAAGTCTTGCAACAGGTCATTTGCTTCAATTAGGAACTGATTCCAGGGTTATGGTGAGGGTCTACTCACTCAGGGGCTTAGTCACCTAGATATGGACCAGAGGGAGAGAATTATGGTGGGGTCCATTCATAATAAGCAAAACATATAAAGAGGCCTGGTGTCAACTTGTCCAAGTCTTCCAGCCCATCAGACATCCACAATCACAATCCTGAACATTCACAAACTTATCAAAGTCCCTCGCTTTGGAGGGCCTGGTGGCCTTGGCTGGCGTGGAACGCCACTCGCGCAAAGCGCGAGCCTCCAAAGGAGGGACTTAGGACAAAAGCAAACATGCCCGCGTGTCACGGTTGGGCAGTTTTGGTGTAACACACATTGAGCTGGATGTACAGCATGCACATGACCAGATATTTAGAATTTGAGTAGATGAGGTTTTAGAGATTGGTGATGCCTCTCACCTCTGGTTGTCGGCGCCACATTTGGAAAAGGGCGCGCCCTCGGGCGCGCCTTTCGGCGCCGAAAGATGGCGCCTTTGGCGGGGGGCGCCCCGGGCGCGCCGGGGCGCCATTGCCGGTGTGTTTTTAAGGAGAGAGAAGATTAGAATTGTGGTTTTTATTTGATGAAAGAGAAGGTTTTTTTTCTTGAGGTTATTGATTCTATGTACATTGGATAAAATGTGGAAAAAAATATATGAGAATCAAATCATGAGACCCAGAGATCTTCTGGATCCCAGTCGGATGCATCAGACTTGTTGCCTTCAATTGCATCGATGTCGATAACGTCGTCGTCAGGCTGGTCGGGAGTAGATTCAATCAAGTCAAAGTCGAAGATTGTGTCCATGAACGCATCTTCTCTTGAAGTTAGTGTAGTGAGCTGGTTCTTTGTAAAGATGCCATCTTCAAAGACCTCAAGTTCGGCTGGTGTGATGAAAGAATCGTAAGCCTTCATGTTTTCATATTCCGAGTCTTCTTGGGTTGAATTCAAAGAAGTCCTCTGATTTTTTCTTCTAGCGGCTAGTAAGGGGTCGCCTTGAAGAAGATGTAGCTTGATCTGAGCCATCATCTTCAAAGTATTAGGCAAAATTCTATTACGAGATTTTGTTTTCATAGCGGTCATCATTGAAAACAGTCCCTCGACTCCAGCAGCGTGGGGTACAATCTCGAGGATTCCAATCGCCAGTTTTTTAAGTGATTCTGACTCGGGTGTATAAGGAACGGTGAGCCAGTAATGTAGAGGTTTAGAAATTGTCTTTGAATTGTAAGGATAGATTGCATTATAATATCGATGGACAGCATCTCGCAGGAGAGACGCCTGAGATTTAGACATCTTCCAGTGTTTCGCAACTTGGAGGATCATCCGACCGATATCGTTTAATGAGTGCTTCTTTGAGACAGCTACACGTCGATAAGCTGGGTGAAGAAAGAAAGAAAGGACATAAATGTCCTCATGAAATACTTTCGTTTGTGCATGAAGGACATCGAGGCAATGCTGTTTGACAGGCTCAAACCTAGAGTAAACTTCAGTGTCGCGAATGTTCTTATAGACATCTATCATTTCTTTCCAGATATCAGCGAGACAAGTATCTGCTCGTTCTAGATGACCGATTGCATCAACCACTGGTTTTAGAAGCTGAACTAGTGTTTGATTTGCAGTGAAGTGATCTCGATCCACAATGACCTTGACAACTGCGTCCGTCATTGAGGGTGTGTCCACTTGTTGGTTTCGGAGCAGTTCGAGGCATTTTTGGAAGCCGATTTCGTGCGATTGAACACCCAAGCAGACCTTCCCCATTGAGTACCACCTTCTTTCACAAAGGGTTTGTAGACCGTGTTTGACACTGTTTTCTTTTTGCCACGTAGTCAGATGCTCGCGCCAGAAGCCAGAATTGGTGAAGTAATTGACCAATGTTTTGTTTTTCTTGACGACAGCTTCCATCATGGGATGATTGACAAACCGCTTAGCAATGAGATTGAAAACATGCAAGGTACAGTGAATTTTGAGAATTTGGGGATTTTCGTCGTTCAAGAGTCTCTGCATGATGTAATTATTGAGACTACCAATTAGCAAAATGGAAACCACAAGTAGGTTACATTTTAGAATGACTCACACAAAGTTTAAGCATAACCGATGGTGAATCTGTGACAACAGCACATACTTGATCCAATCCAATTTGCTTGGACTTGAGTGAAGCCTTGAGAGATGAGAAGATGTTTTCCTCTGTGTGTCGCTTGTGGTTGAGGTCAAGGATATCGATAAAGTACTTTCGCTTAGCACCTTTGAGAGCCATTAATGCGTATATACTGTTGCCTGAGTTGTTGGTCCATCCATCCAAAGACAAGGTAAGTTGATTTTGTTCTTTAATTTTATCATGCAGCCATAATTCGTGTTGAGCATGTACCACAGACAATGCTTTTTTGATTACCTACTCTCAACAAGGTATCTTGTATACAGATAGTGCTAGTTCTAACTGATATTCTTGGAAGTAGGGGTTCTCAAGGTATGTGAATGGTGAATTGGAGCTAACAATTGATTTAAGAAGCAACTCATGGAGTTTGAGAGTCTTTTCCTTTGAAAAGGGCTGAAAGTACTGTTTGACTGATTGGCTAGATGTTTGACCACTAGGATCAATTGTGACGGATATTGTTCGACTATTTTCTTGATCAGAGGATTTTGGATGACTCGATTCATCAACCTTCATACTGTTTGATAAGTAAGATGACTTTTTGTCGGCGGGAATAGCTGGACAGACATCTTTGATGTGGCTGAAGAGGAGTTGGGGCTTTCCTTGGTTGAAGACTTTTTGACAATAACTACATTTAGCAGATCTTCGCCTGGATTCATTGTTATGCAGATTTGACATTAAGAATCCTTCCCATCATGGACCATGGGATTTCGAAGGCTTCATCCATTCCTGTGGACCAGTTGAGTTTCTGATTGGTGGCATAATAGGAGCTAATAGGAGCTAGGAAGTACACCGGAGGGAATGATTACAGTAAGGAGCTCGATCTTTTTGAATTTAACTCTGACCATGGACTGGCGGCTGGCTGGCTGGCTTCGGTGTCCAAGTCCCTGCCTAAGCCTTTCAAACCCATCTACTGTCTACATCTTTGATCCTTGGACCTTCTCACATAGTTCCCCCTGTCATTCCCACCAATACTGGCAGTCTGGCATTCCCAGGGGCCACATGAGCAGATTGCTCAATGTCTCCTCGCTTTGAAGGCCACCCTGAAAAAGTTAGGGTTAAAGGTGCGCGCCCTACCCCTTTTTGGGCAAAAGGGCGCGCCTGGGTGCGCGGGGCGGGGCGGGCGCACTTTGGCGCGCACCTGCCACTGGCGCCGACAACCAGACTCTCACCTCATCCAATTTTCAGAGCTTTATCTTGGAAATTGGATGAGGTGGATGTTTTTCAAGTTGGTCAAATTGAGGAAATGTTCTCACCTGGTAGGCAGTGAGGTTGAAACAGGCTTATGTAAGCTCAGCCAACTTTTCATTTAGCAAATTTTCCTTAAAAACTCTTCAATTGTGTAGTTTTTGATTTTTTTCAAAAGTTTCTTGATGGAAGTCAAGACCACCATATTGGGCATCTTCACCTCAGCTCAGTTTTCAAAAAATATACAAGCTGAATTTCCTAGGATTTTTGGCGCAAAAAACAGCCAAAAAACTTGACTGTGACACGCAAGCGTGTTTGTTTTGGGCTCGAGCCTCTCCCGCACTTTGTGCGTTTGACGGTGTGGTAAATAATACTGTGTTTCTACGCAGAAAATATAAAAATTTCTTATTATCTCTTTATACATTCAAGATAGGGTAAAAATGACATCAAAAATGGAATCCTCAGGTAAAATAACCCCTAGTAACCCACTACAACCATACCCTTATCTCTTATAGTTTGGAAGTTACATGTATTTCAACCTGTCACGGGATATTTCTTGGATTCTTCACTCTAGCCATAGCCATTATGAGCCGAGGATGCATATTGCATAATGAATACATTTGTAGTAAATTGAATACCTTTACGTTGTTTTGAATCCCTTTGTATTAGTGATATTGCATGTATGCATCCCTTTGATCATACATATGCGTCCCTTTATTCATTCATATGCATCCCTTTGTAGTAGTATCTTTCAGCCTGTACCCTGGGGCCAAAATTCCTCACATTTGTCTATATAAGGAGGCCTCTGCCTGCCAGTTGTTCCCTCCATCATCCCACCAGTGGACCAGATCATCCCAACCACCCTTATAAATAAATCCATCTTATATATTATTTCAGAACTACAAGTCATAGCCACATTACAATTACAGATTTATACACATTGAAAAACAGATTTAACACTTTCATCATAAACATAAACCAAAAAGTGCCCTGAACCATATTCATCAATAACAACTTCATCAAGATAACCAACAGTCAATAACATCTTTATACCCTCACACATATAAATTGGCAGCTTCATCTCGAACTTATCCCTATCACTATATATAAAATTGCCAAGCTAAGCTTGGTGGTCTTGTTATTCTGATAGTATAGAAGGGCAGAGCTTGCAACTCCAACATACCCTTCTCCATTCAGCAAAAGGGTTTTCATAATCACTTTTGAGTCTTACAACGGAGAGGCTGTACAAGCTCGGAACATTCAATCATCCAACACAATCAGAAACACATAAAATCCAAAGCGACTCGTGACCAAAAATACAATGTTTCAATTGATCAACAATGGAATCACAGAATTGCATGATTCACTGGAATTTTTGGGATTATTTAGAGCATCTCATAGTTTAAGCCAAATATTTTGTTATGTGGTGGATTTGTTGGCTAACTTTTTGATTAGTCAGATGTTTCATGCCTTGATAAGAGAAGTGGCAAACAGTTTTAAACTGCATCATCAGTTCCCCCAGGTCTTTTGGAACTTGGTCCAGAGGATCATTGGAACATCAGACTCACTAACAGCGGCACATCTATGCATCAGTTGACAAACGGGATGGTTTACTGGTTACGAGGCACTGTGGTGGGATGCCATTGTCATGAACTGCCATACCTCAAGTGCAATGAAATGGAACTTTTTGTGTGAGATAGATGCGTCAGTTGATAATGTATCAATAAAAATCACTGGGAAAGGCACAATTGTTCCCAAATTCAATGGGAACCAGGCAGGCTTTGACTTGATTGTCCAGCAGGAAGTTAAAGTCTGTACTGCGAGTCAGACATGTAATCATCAACCCAAGTTTCATCAGTGCTTTCGCTCAAAATGATGTGTTACACTTAGGCTTTTGGGGACCATGTAGTTATGGTCAAGTATGTGGCTCTCCAAATTAGATGTACCAAAACTTTTGATACATGACTAAAATTTGGTCAAAGGGTGCACTTCAGAGGGGTGTTAGCTGGGTGGGACAGGCACCATGAAATGATGATTTTTGAAGTAAGTTTCCAAAAAGAAAATTTCCTAATCACTGAGGTCTAATGATGCTTCTAATTTTGATCCAGTTGAATGAAGTGACAATTGGAGGAACCCAAAAATGAAAATTCCCACCACCACATTTCACCATTCACTCCACCCTTTGGATTCATGCTGGGAAGCATGAGAAATTTTGGATTTTAACCCAGACTTGTGTCTAATAATACTATCTCCCATGGTTGCAAGGCACATCTTCTGAAAAATACCCTGACTCGGGGTTGATATCACTCATGTTGTGAGAGTTTGGGGAGGTTTCTTTCCTGTTAGTTTAAGGAAGACATTTGAATTACACTATTACAACCTTTGGTGTTATAGATTGCATGCAGACTTGATAAGAAGGCACATCAATAAAATCCAAATAATAAACAAAGCGCAATGCACAAATTTGAGAAATAGAAAGACAACCAGTCCCTATGCTTTTTTGGTTTTCTTGGCATTTTTTTGTGCCTTTTGTGCTTGTTTTTCTTTCCATGCTTGACAGTCTTCAATAAACTTATTTGTATCACAGAAAAAGGCCTCCTTTTTAGATTCATAATATAGGTTCTGTAACCAAGTGATGGTTTGAAGGGAGGTCAAAGGAATTTCACAAGATACACCAAGACAGCTATGATCAGATTGCAGGGAAGTAGAAATTTCAGTGCAATGACTAAATCTATCAGCTTTCCAAACCATTTCAACAATTCCATCAAATCCGGCAAAATTTAAGCCAAAATTTTCATCGGGAAATAGGAAGTTCCTTCCCTGAAAATTCAAGTTATTGGTTACTAAGCTTCCATCTTGCACGTTGATTGGGAGCCATAAACCAAACGTGTAAGTTGAGGAATCTCTATCACAGTGTGGTTTGTTGTGAAAATTTTTGAAGGTGAAACTGAGATGTGATGCGAAGGAAAAGTCATTCACTTCAGCAAATGAGGTAGAAGAGATCGATGGGAGTTCAAGGTCTTTATGTCAAGATCACAAGGTTTCGTAAAGGTACTGCAACAAGTGGGAGAATCAAGTAGCAAGAAAGGCTTCATGGTCTTTCATTTGTTCTTGAAGGAGGGAGTAATGTTCCTCATTCCCTGCAATCTTGGGAACTGCCGCAGAAATGCCGAGGATTTTGTTTTTCGTGTAATCCTTGCGCCAGCTGGCATTGAACATGGTTCCACCAAGGGTGTTTCCGTTGATCCCATTCACATAGAGGTACTTGGATTGAGCGATGAGGTGCATGCTAAAACCTTTGAATTGTTTGAGGAGGGATTCATTGATGTCAGAGAACTTGGTGAAGTGGACCAGGCCACCAACTTCTTGATTCTTGTTTTGGAGGAGAATTTTGTTCTTCTGGACAAGCCTTATTGGTTGGGGGGTGGAACGTGGGTGATGGATGGAGAACTGGGAGCTGGCAAAGATTGTTCAATCGCTTTGTCTCCTTTCCCTTGTTCCTGTTGCGATTTCTCTTCTGTGTCCTGGTCAATTTGGGTTCAGATTCCCCCTCAGTATCCTCACCAAGAGCTGTGGGATACTTCCCACAAACCTTAAAGTGATTAACATCAGGATCCTCTCACTCCCAGTCAGATTGACACCCTGAGGAAACATCTGAGAGATCTATTTGAGGTAGCAAGTCATCACAGATGTGATTGTTGTGTGGAAGGGTGGCTGGTGGTGATTGATAAATGCAATAGGTCCAAAATGGACAGAGCCCAGTAAGATTGACAGCAAGAATATCTGGAATCTTAGACTAGTAAGGATCAAGCAATCTTGTTGTGGAACTACTCTTGGGAGGAATAGAGCTTGAGAGGGATGGATGCTTTAATGGGCTGCCTCTCTGATAACAAGAAAATATAAGAATATGGACTCTTAAGGAAAGGTGTGGCTTTGGAGATTTCTTGAGGATGGTAAGTCTAATATGTCTTATGTTTACTAGTCTAAATATACTTGTTCACAAATCAAGCTATCCCAAATGTTGATGGGAATATACCTGGCTAATAGTGGGTGATCAGTTATCTGAATTTCTGGGGCAGGATCTGATGAGGAACAAATGAAGAGGAAAAACAAAGCTCCTTATATACAAATTTCTGGGGAGTGGCCAGCTTGTGGTTGGAAGATATGTGGAACATTCTATGAAGAGTATGAAACAAGGGAAAACATTTATCCAGAGAAAACAGGGGAAACAAGCAGTGGTAAAATGCTCCCAAGGTTACTAGTATGAAACAACTAAGGGGGGAATATTCCATGGAAGGAGATAGGAGGAAATAACTGTTTCATGGATCAGGGGGGTTGTTACTAGTGTGAGACACAAGGGGGAGGAAGAATGGAATTGTTTGGAGGGGAGTAAGTTTCAGGAGTGGGGAGTTTCTGACTGGGAAATATTATTATCCATGTGGTCTGTGTTTGAGGGGATTCATGACTGGTGTCTGGATTGGTTTGAGGGCCTGGGAAATTCCTGAGGGGTCTTGATCCTGTGATTCTTGTGTGATTTGTTGCTCTCGATGTGCTTGAAGCTTCAGGATTGGCTTACCACATTGTGTGCAGGGGGGTGTTGGTGGTTCTATTGGCAAATGAACAGACTTGGGCGTTGATAAATGCCCGCCCTCCCCCCTCCCGCCCGCCCACACCCACGCCCCTCTAAAAGGGGCGTGCAATCACACCCGCCCCTCAGAGACGGGCGGGTGGGATTGCACGCCAACCGCCCAAGAGGTCATGGCAGGCTGACGTAAGCAAAACACTCTGGAGTGTTTTGCTTTTGTCAGCGCGCCGATGACTCTTGGCCTTCCAGACCTGTACAGTCTTCATGGCCGGGAGGAAATCCCTCCTGGCCTTCGAGACTTGTACAGTCTTGAAGACCGGGAGAATCCTCCCGGCTATCAAGACTGTAC